TTCAAAAAACAAAACCTCTTGCTCCAAACTCAAGTGACTAAAAAACATGAGAAGCAAAAACAACGACATGCATCAGTCTGGAAATGGTTACAAAGCCTTTTCTAAAGTTTGGGACTCCTACAATACACAGTAAGATGCATTACCTATGATGAGAGTAAACATGGATCAGTGATGAACCTTCCCAGTGATGGCCGATTGACTCTATCAAGAGTTCAAAACAGAACCCAGAGCATGATGTAAAGCAATGCAGGTCTCACTTGCTTCAGACTGAGCAAAGAACACATCTGTAGAGTTTCAAAGCAAACCACCAAAAAAAGGACCACATTACATTTTCCATAGAACATGTTGATAATCCAAAAGATTTAGGAAGATATTCTGTGACAATATTCTGAGACAATAATGGATCATTTTAGAAGTGCTAGTCTAATCTGATCCCTGCATATCCAATGGTAACACATCTAGTTTAGAGGACTCTAAATCACTTTACACTACATTCAGTCATTCACTGATTCATAGATATACAGTCACACATTGACAGTAATGAGCTACATTGTAGCCACAGCTGCCCTGTGACAGATTGACAGAAGTGAGGCCACATCAAGGTGGGTGGAATGTCTTACCCAATGACACAATGACTGAGACAGAAAGAGTGGGGTTTCAAACTGGCAACACACCAGTTACAGGACCAACCCCGGCTCCGGACAAGTTTAACAGGGGGGAGCATGAGGGGGCAAAATTAATCTACATAGCAATAAAAGCAATTTTACTCAAGTAAAAGAAAAAGGTACAATGCAGTAAAACTACTTTTATAAGTACCTTTATTCCAAAAAAGTTACTCAAGTGAATGTAACAAGTACTGTCCACTTTTGAACATAGGGTAGCTGTATTGGTATTATCTAGTCATCTTTTAGCTAACATTACCTGTATCCAACAGCTTTACTCAACTCAGATGGTTAGTCGGGGAAAAAACTTTGCAAAGTTCTTTGCTTTTTGCTGCCATGATTCTAACACAACTGAGCAGCTCTGCAAAGCAGCAGCAGGTCTCCTTCACTGCCGCACATGTGTAAACCCAGCGCGAGTGTCTTAGCGCTCCTGTTGCATTTAAAGGCAGCTTGGAAAAGCAGGTTACGACATGTTAACAACAGATTAAACAGTTTTAACTGCTGAAAAAAAGTGACAGAAGGCACAGTTATGGGAAGTGCAGAAGCCCCTACTGTATCAAATCCATATAGAAATAAGAGAGTTGGCCACTTTAAGGTAAAAACAACAAACAGCTTCCAGTCCAGGGGGGGAGCAGACTCTGTGGACAGACAATCCCCGCCAATGCTGCTGGGCCTGTAAAAGACTAACACCTACCACCGTCGCCATAGTTGCTTCAGAAACTATGGCGACTAAACTGTGTTACTGTTTTCACAGTACTGAAAAAAGTAACACACTACAGTAGTGTGTATTCTGTCAGCCATGCTGACTGTACACACTGTCGGCAGATGGTTGAGATTTCATAGAGGGTACTGACTGCATTAATTTCTTGTTGAAGTGAAGACCTCACTGATATCTACATGACAGAGTCTCTAATGAGGAGGTGAGGTTATCCACAGGCAGAGACTGTTGTTCAATACATTCATTTTTGTCTTTCTTTTCAGATGGAGGTGGAGCAAAAAGAAACTTTTTGACATCTTTTTTTGAGGATTGTGAAGAGGGGTAGGTAGCTGAGTGTGGTCGTTTGCTGATAAAGGATCTGCTCAGCATGAAATAGACGATCAGCCAGAGGAGCGCTGAAGCAGAATAACGTAGAGCTGAAGCAGATAGTCAAACACACACACACACACACACACACACACACGCACACACACACACACACACACACACACACACACACACACACACACGCCACAAAGCTCTTTCTGAACTCACCAGTCTGCTAACTCCTCCTACTGCTGCTCCTTATCAACACATTTCTTTGTTCCCTCCCTTCAGATCAGTGGTTGGTCTAACGAATCACAGGCCTCCATACTTGAAGCAACATGTCATCTTTAGAGCATAGTTCAGTTTCATTTATGAGGGAGTGAAACTCACAGTTATTCTCACTGAGAGGAGAAATGGCGCAGAAAGGAGTTCAGATGGACCGTGAAAGATTCTCTTGTTCCATCTGTTTGGATCTACTGAAGGATCCGGTGACTACAGCCTGTGGACACAGCTACTGTATGAACTGTATTAAATACTTCTGGGATGGAGAGGAACAGAAAGGAACCTACAGCTGCCCTCAATGTAGAGAGACCTTCAGACAGAGGCCTGTCTTGAAGAAACACACCCTGTTAGCAGAGTTAATGGAGGACCTGAAGAAAAGCAGAGCCAAAGCTTCTCCAGCTGACCACTGCTATGCTGGACCTGGAGATGTGGCCTGTGGTGTCTGCACTGGGAGGAAGATGAAAGCTACAAAGTCCTGTCTGGTTTGTCTGGTTTCTTACTGTGAGAATCATCTCCAACCTCACTACGATGTTCCTGTTTTAAAGAAACACAAGCTGGTGGATCCCTCTGAGAATCTTCAGCAGAACATCTGCTCTCGTCATGATGAGGTGATGAAGATCTTCTGTCGTACTGATCAGCAGTGTATCTGTTATCTCTGCACTATGGATGAACATAAAGGCCATGAAACAGTCCCAGCTGCAGCAGAAAGAGATGAGAAGCAGAAGAAGCTCCAGGTGAGTCGACAACAAATCCAGCAGAGAATCCAGGACAGAGAGAAAGATGTGAAGCTGCTTCAACAGGAGGTGGAGCCCATCAATGTATCTGCTGATAAAACAGTGGAGGACAGTGAGAAGATCTTCACCGAGTTGATCCATATACTCCAGAAAAGAAGCTCTGAGGTGAAGCAGCAGATCAGATCCCAGGTGGCAGCTGAAATGAGTCGAGTCAAATATCTCCAGGAGAAGCTGGAGCAGGAGATCACTGAGCTGAAGAGGAAAGACGCTGAGCTGGAGCAGCTCTCACACACAGAGGATCACAACCAGTTTCTCCTCAGATACCCCTCACTGCCAGCACTCAGTGAGTCTACATGCTCATCCAGCATCATAGTTCGTCCTCTGAGATACTTTGAGGATGTGACACCCGCTGTGTCAGAGCTCAGAGATAAATTACAGGAAGTCCTGAGAGACTCATGGACAAACATCCAACTGACGATCACAGAGGTGGATGTTCTACTGTCAGAACCAGAACCTAAGACTAGAGCTGGTTTCTTAAAATTTACTAAAACAATAACTCTGGATCCAAACACAGCAGGCAATTATGTGTCATGTAATTGGGACAAAACAGCAACATTAGAGAAAGAAAAACAGGTTTGTCCTGATCATCCAGACAGATTTACTTGTTCTCAGGTTCTGAGTAAAGAAAGTCTGACTGGACGTTGTTACTGGGAGGTGGAGAGAAAAGGAAAAGAAGTCGATGTAGCAGTTTCATACAAGAATATCAGCAGATCAGGAGATAAAAGTGATTTTCGATACAATGATAAATCTTGGTCATTATATTGTGACGGAGACAGTTACATATTGTATCACAACAATGATAAAACCAAACTGTCAGGTCCAGTTTCCTCCAAAGTCGGAGTGTACCTGGATCACAAAGCAGGTATTCTGTCTTTCTACAGCATCTCTAAAACCATGACTCTCCTCCACAGAGTCCAGACCACATTCACCCAGCCGCTACATGCTGGAATTTCACTTTATAACTATGGAGACTCAGCTGAGTTCATTAAACCTAGACAGACAGAAGGGAATTCATGTTCAATTGGTTAAAATGTGTATTTTAGTTTCAGTCCATCTGGTTTTCATCTTTATTGCTTGGTTATTTCTTCACTGGTCTTTATGGTGATACTTTATCTGGTTTGCTGTTGGTGGAGTTTATTTGGGAGCTACCTTTACTGCATTGTAGGTAAAATAATGTCAACCACAGCTGCTGGTATTTTATTATAAATTGGAGATATTTTTTTTTTACTGTGTGGTTTTTGTTTATCTATGGAGGCTATCACTGCTTAGGATATTTTTTATTCACTTCTACTGATTATATTTACATTGATTTATTTTTCAGAACAAAATTGTTGTTGGAACTGATGTCCAGATGAGATAATTATAAATCAATCAGTTACAAAGTTAATGCTTTGAAAGTCAAATCCTGAGAATGTTTTGGATTTCTCTATTAATTTGTTGTTTAGACGTTAATCATTAGATCTTTTTAAGCTTTGCTTTAGTTTTTTGTTCTGCTTTTAATTTTGTTTAATTATTTTAAAATATTGTTTTATTTTTCATGTTAGCTTTAGGTGCTCTTTTAGACTTGTTTAGAAATGCAGTAACTTGATGTTTTCTTTTATGTTTGCATATTTTTCTTGTGAATGAAGTACATTTTAATGTTTTTAAATTGAATATGTCTACATATAGATCTTTATTATAAGTTTGGCTGTAACTTTAGTTTCTAAAATCTATCATTTATATCACAATTCTTTACATTTTTTTCACTAACCATGTTAATAATGAATAAAATCTGATGGAATTATGCAAACCTGTCTTTATGTCTCATTAAATATTATTTTTAATTTCTATTAAACTGATAGCACAGAACTCTGACTCTAGGTCAGATTCTAGACTGTTTTAAAGCTCTTCACTATAATTTCACACTGAACTAAAATAATATTAGGCTACAAATCAATGTAATGCCTCTTAGTTTGTAATACTCATCAACCTTTTATTTAGTTGCATATTTCTACATGGTAAAAGTATTGCTATTTAAATCCGTGATCTCATTCTACCACCTTAGAACTTAAGGTCCTCATTTTTAAAATAAAATGAGGACCTTAAGTCCTCATACTTTAACACTTATCTTAAGTGTTAAAGTAATATTTAATAAGTGATATTTCAACACATTTTAAGACACAACATTTAAGTGTTCAATTACATTACTGTGTCGCCTTAGTGCACATCTTAGACCTTAAGTTAAAAGCTGCTTCTAGACCAGTGTTTCTCAACCTTTTTTGGGCCAGCGCCCCCCTATCCATGATCCAGGTCCCTTACCGCCCCCCGTATAAGAAGTTGAATTTTACGTTGCACTGAATATTATTTTATTGTTAATATTACCATCACTATTGTTGATGTTTTGATTTTTATTGCTGTTTCTGTATTTATCATCAAAACTAAATTTCCAGANAACAAAAAAAGCAATGTGAATAGAAATTATTTTTACAGGTGCCTATATGTAATGGACATTCAACTTAAAATCAGTAGGCCTAACAGCAGCCAATCATAGTGGAAAAAATATTCCAATATATAATATACCTTTATACACTGCTCAAAAAAATAAAGGGAACACTCAAATAACACATCCTAGATCTGAATGAATGAAATATTATCATTGAATACTTTGTTCTGTACAAAGTTGAATGTGCTGACAACAAAATCACACAAAAATCATCAATGGAAATCAAATTTATTAACCAATGGAGGCCTGGATTTGGAGCCACACACAAAATTAAAGTGAAATGTTCCCTTTATTTTTTTGAGCAGTATATTATTTTACCTTTTTCCTGAAAATCCTGTTATCTGAAAACAGTGTCTGTTTTTGCCATACAGTCCTATGTATTAATTATTGCTCGAATCGTCTTGCCATACAGGTTTATTCCTCTGTATTTAGTTTAGTTTCTTAGTTTATTCTTGCATTTTGTTCTTCATGCATTTTCATTCAGGTTTCTTCGATAAGTATTATCCTCTCTTGGTTTATTGTTATGTTCTCTTTAGTTTCTTTCCTGTTGCTAGATTTATTTTATCGTTTTTATTGACGCTCACCACCAGTAATCTTCACTCATCACC